TTTTTTGGCAAATTTCAAGTTTGTCCGCTTTATGGTTCTGGAGATTTTGTGATGATGTGTGAGTGGCATTTTGCTTTTATATATGTAGTTTGGGGGTGTTTGCTGCAGGTGCTCTGACACTCACAAATTATATATGCAGACAATCCTCAACTTATAACAATTCATTTAGTGATCGTTCAAAGTTACGGCATTGAAAAAAGTGACCTATGACTGTTTTTCACAGTTATGAACTTTGCAGCATCCCCATGGTCACATGATCAAAATTCAGATGCTTGGCAACTGGTTCATATTTATGACCTGTCATGCCTTTGTTAGAGTCAGACTCTGAGGGAGAGGAGGAACAGCCGACAGGGAGCAGAGGTGTGGCTCCGGAGGTTGTGGAGGAGGTTGAGGAAGGGCAGAGGCCGGTTGGGCAGTCAGAGGAAGAACCAGGCCCATCCCCTCTCCATCCTAGGACACGCAGGGAGGAATGGAGAAAGAAACAACTTGGCTTACAAGAGAGGAAGCGGCCATGATCCCCTCATTGGTTGCAGCTGGGGAGACTAGTATATAAGAGTGATGGTTAAAACACAATGTTGCCAGAAGCAAAGCAATCTTGGTTGGCGTCCTTCCAACAGACTATGCCTTGTTATCTCCTTGAAGCTGGTAATTACTAATCCTGGTCCATTGTGGAAATTCCTTCATTGCAGTTTGTTTTAATTTTTTATTTCACCTCTATCTGCTCATTAAGTTTGGACTGTATTGCTTTCTTTTGAAGACTATTTTTGAATAAGTTTTATCTCCAACTGAGAATTATTGAACAGTGGGGCCAAGTTGGAGGCATTAAAGGACATTTATTTACGTTTTGGCTTTTGTTATGTTTGTGTTACACTCTGGGTCATCACATGACTGTTGCTGTGTCCCAAGGACAAGTGATCTCCCTTTGCGACCTTTTGACTAGCAAAGTCAATGGAGGCTTAACAACTGGGTTACTAACTTATCAACTGCAGTGAATCACTTAACAACCATGACAAGAAAGGTCATAAAATGGGACAAAACTCACTTAACAAATATCTCGCTTAACTACAGAAATTTTGGGCTCAATTGTAAACTGAAGACTACCCGTATTGTCAATTTCTGCGGTATAGCAAAAATTGGTAATTTTTAAAATGCCGTCTTCCTCAACCTACATACTAGTGCAGATTGGGAATTCTGGGATCTGTTATCCCAAGTTCAGGTAGTCCTTGAGCCCAAAATGTCTGTTGCTAAGCGAGACACTTGTTAAGTGAGTTTTTCCCCCTTTTATAATCTCTCTTGCCCCAGTTGTTAAGTGATTCACTGCAGTTGTTAAGCTTAGTAGCACGATTGTTAAGTAAATCTGGCTTCCCTATTAACTTTGTCAAAAGTTTGCAAAAGTTTGATCACATGACCCCAGGACACTGCATTCCATCCTAACTATGAGTCAGTTGCCAAGCATCCAAATTTTGATCATGTGACCACGGGGATGCTGCAATGGTCATCAATGTGAAAACTGGTTGCAAGTCACTTTTTTTCACTGCCATTGTAACTTGGAACAGTCCCTGAACAAACTGTTGTGAGTCGAGGACTACCTGTACTTTGGAGGTTGCCAGATGAAGGCGACCTTAAAAAAACATCATTGATTCTGAAAAAGGGAACTTCAAGAATTCAGGTCTGTCAGAACTCACAAGGCTGGTGTGGGAGGCTGTGTGTTGTAATCCACAGTGAAACTGTTCATGTTGCCATTCTCATCACTGATCAGGACATCTGCTAAAGGAGAACAGCAGCTGGACCTAGAGAGGAGATAAACATAGAAGATGGCTAAGCAGGTGATGGTAAATTGACACTCCTTAAGAGCTTTCTGAAAGGCTGGTAGAATCAGAAGGTAATGACATTCCAAACATGCAACCCAAAAAGACACATTTTCTGGGTCACCAACCTTTTGGATCTCAGGGACCACCAAACTTATAATTTTAAACCCCGCTGACCATTAATATGAATTTTAACTGACGGTGGCTTGCTGACGTTGGTGGGAAAGTCGGTCCCATATTCTAGAGCTGCAGTAGTCACAGGACTGGCCCTTTGGTCATCCCGGAGCAGCTGCTTTTCCACCGGGGTACACCGGCCTGCCATGGACTGGAGGAGCTGCTCTGGGATGACCAAAGGGCCAGTCTTGTGACTCCTGCAGCTCTGGAATATGGGATCGACTTTCCCACCAACGTCAGCAAGCCACCCCAGGGTGGATTTCGCTCCTCTGCCGCTGGTCTTAACTTCCAGTTCCAGCTCGCGTGGCTCTACTCAAGATAAGGTTTGCACTCGGCTGAAGGGTGGGGCCAGCGGGTGGGCAGGCCATGTGGCCGGCGCAGCCTTGTGTTCCGGCACAGCCTTGTGTTCCTGCACACTGGATTAATTGCTTTGGGGGGAGTGCTTTAGGGGGGGGACATTTCTCTGAGGACCACCAACATTTTCTCACGGACCACCAGTGATCCCTGGCCCATCGGTTGGCAACCACTGTCCTAGATGATATTTTTATTGATGGGAACTGAAGTGTGTTCCTCTTGTTGGACCTGATGAAGCACACAGAAGTAAGTGGGGAAACTCGGTCCTCCAGATGTATTGGCCCCAAGCTATAAACGTCAAGGGTGGGATTCTGCTGGTTTGGAGCGGTTTGTGTGAATCCCTAGCTTCGGTGATCAGCTGGCTCCAAACTGGTTTGCTCCAACGATCATGTGGGCCCGCCCACTCGCCCGCCCCTGCGCTGTACTCACCTATATCTGCTCAACGGATTCACGTGGCAGAGCTGATTGCCGCACCTCAACTGTGTTACTTCCCCAAAGTAACATTGAAGATAAGTAATTTTGAAAGCTGTGCATGCAGCGCGCGCAGCTCACGATTAGCGAACCAGCTGTTACACTGGCAGCATCCCACCACTGATGAAGGTAGCAGGAGATAACCAGAATCTTGAATTCCACTCAGAAGCATATGGATTATGGAAGCCAGGGAAACTTGCCGAAAAAAAGGGTGCAACACAAACATAACATGATGGGAGGGGTCCTTGGTGTGCTCTCTGAGCTTGTTTGTTTTCTTGCAGATGTTTTTAAACAGTTAAAATAGTACTCCTGCTGTTCCCTCCCTGCCTCCCCAAAGTACATATAGTATATGATTAATATATAAGGCATTTCATAGGTGGGTTACTTGTTTCTTTCTGTGTGGAAAGGCGAAATGTGTACAAGAAAAACAGGGATGGGATTCTACTGGTTTGGACCGGTTTGGGCGAACTGGATGTTAAGTTTTCATCTGGTTCGCCAAACTGGTATTTCAACTGACCGGCTAGCCCTGCCCACCCTCCCAGGAATCTCCATGTAATGCAGGTAAGTGCAGGGTCCATGTGGAGGCTCTGGGAAAAAAATGGGCCTGCCGGAAATCTGGAAACAGGCCTGTTTCTGGCTTCCGGAAGGCCTCCAGAGCCCGGGGGAGGCCATTTTCACCCTCCCAGAGGCCTGAGGGAAGCCTCCGGACTCTGGGGAAGGCGAAAAACGGCCCTCCAGGAAGTTCCAGTAGGCCACACCCACCATGGTCACGCCCACCCAGCAACAGGGCAGTGAACCAGTTGCTGGGATTTTTGAATCCCACCCCTGAAGAAAAGCCATGCTTGAAATGGGCCTCAGAAATGCCCCTGAACTAAGAAATTTCAAATATGTTGTACATAAGCTCTATAGCTGTACTAGACACATAGACAGACAGCAGCTTAGGTAGCTTAGGTTATAAACCAACAAGATAAATAGAAAAGATAAATATATCAATCTTTCACTGCAGCAGGCAGTGGTCCCATCGTGCTTTAAGATGGCCGTTACTTTGCCAGTGCCAAAAAAACCCTCTACAATTATGGGTCTCGATGATTACCATCCAGTTGCGCTTACATCCATCATTATGAAATGTTTTGAGAGGCTGATGAAGGACTTTATGGTATCCAGCCTCCCTCCAGCATTTGACTCGCTTCAGTTTGCTTACTGTCCAAATCGCTCTACGGGGGATGCTATTTCTTCTGTAATCCATCTGAGCTTGCCTCACTGAAAGAAGCAACTGTGTGCGAATGCTGTTTGTCGACTTCAGTTTGGCATTGAATATAATCATTCCTTGGCATCTAGGAGACAAACTGAGCCTTTTAGGCTTTAATACCCCTTTGGGCAACTGGATTGTTGATTTTCTTATTGACAGGCCCCAGTCAGGGGTGTGATTCAACCAGTATAACAACTGGCTTGGTGAGCATGTGCTTTGCGCACGCACATCCTTCGCATTTAAGAAAGCTATTACTTACCTTCAATTGCAGCTGAACAAAACAGCTGAGGCAGACCATTCTGCCGCGTGAATCCGTTGTGCTCTGACAAAAAGACATACAGCACAGGGAAAAGCAGGGGCGGGCAGGCCGGCCCACTGTTAGGAATATAAGTCACCTAACAGGTATTTGGGTTAGAAATATATAAACCAGGATAAACATTTTAGTACTATGTCTTTAAGAGATTGCAAAAACTGCAATTGGGTGTGGTTTTTCAAACAGCCATAAGATGGAGCCAGAAACCTGGATTGTCTTAGTCTTAGTCTCAGAAGAGAGTGTGTCTGAGTGTATATCTGTTTCCTTCTGTTGGAAAGTATTGCCGTTGCTCCATTTCTTCTAATTGACTGATATTACTGGATTTAATGTAAGTCTGATACTGAACTGTTTTTGACACTGGAATTTGATTATTTGGATTATCCCTGGATTGAAAAACTGACTGATTTACCTGTGAATGACTTTTGGACTGCTTATTTTCAACTTTGCTTAAACCTTTCTGGAAGTAAAAACCTACATTTACTGTACAGTGTATCTGTGTGCTCTGTGTGTATTATTCCAACACTACTCTCTATACGTCTCCCTGTATGCGCTCATTCTCCTAACGGGGAATTACCTCAACACCCACATGGCTTATCGGAGTGAACTGGTTTGGAGCCACCTGATCGTTGGAACAAGGGGTTCGCCTGAACCAGTATGAACCAGAAGAATCCCACCCCTGGCCCCAGTATGTGCGAGTTGGGATTAATCTTTCTAAACACCATTTTCTTGAGCACAGGTTATCCCCAGGGCTGTGTCCTAAGCCCGCTGTTGACCTTGTTGACCTGCGACTGTTGTGCTAGGTTTGCCACCAGACATATTGTGAAGTATGCAGATGATACGATTATAGTGGGCCTTATTCAAGATGAAATGATGGTGCTTACTACAAGGAGGTAGACGGTTTAGTGAACTGGTGTAACAAAAGACAGCCTCGTTTTAAACGTAGGAAAAACTAAAAGGGATCATTGCCGATTTCAGAAAAGGCAGCCACAGCCACACACTTCTGTATATTAATGATTCACCTGTGAAGGTAGTTAGCAGCGCCAGGTTTCTGGGTGTGCAGCTGAGTAAGCTAGCTTGGTGGCTCAACAGTGAGATGCTGGGGAAGTGGGCGCAGCAGCGCCTGCATTTTCTGCATCGCATGAGAAAAATACATCTTCCTTCCACTGTCCTTACCACTTCCTATTGAGGGACAATCGAGAGGATCCTGTCTTATTGCATGACAGTCTGGTTTGGAAGCATTACTGCTTTGGATAGGAAGGCGGTGCAGAGAGTGGTGAGGATGGCAGAAAAGATTATTGACAGCTTCATTGCCTTCTATCCAGGACATGGCAAATAAATGATGCTTGAGCAGAGTCCGCAAAATTGTCTGGGACGCTATGCGTCCACTTCACAATCTGTTTTCCTTGTTAACTTTTGGGGAGAAGGCTCCATGGTATCTGAAGCAGACAATCCAGATTCAGCCAGAGTTTTGTTTCATATAGCACCAACCTTGCTTAGAGAGGGCTGGAAAGCACTGTGAAGCGATATATACGTCCAAGTGCTATTGCTATATAGCATGTGCATATGTTTGTGATGTATGGGTAGATATATATACTTTCTTTTGTGAGCAGGCAACAGAATTTCATTTTTAATGTGGGCCAGTGTGCTCACAGTAAGAAATGATAGTAAAGGTTACCTTATCTTATTACTGATGATGTGAGCAAAACTAAAACCAGAAAACACATACGGTTCTTGACTTACAACTGTAATTGAGCCTGGCAATTGTGATTGTAAGCTGGTCACCCAATGAATGGGCCTGATTTTGCAATTTTTTTTCATGGCTGTTATGAAGCAAGTCCCCCACTGTTTGCTATTGGATGGTTTTTACCGGAAACCGGGAAATAAAGACCTGTTTTGGGCGCCATATTTATAAATTGTAGTCACATGACTGTGGGGTGCTGCAAACAGCCGTAAGCACAGGGGGCGCCGAGCGCTTAAAATGTAGTCACATGACCATGGGGTGAGCAAGGTCAGAACTTCAAAACCAGGCTATAAGTAGTCTTTTTTTTGGGGGGGGAGGGGTCGGCTGTAATTTTGAACAGTTGTAAGTTGAGAACAACCTGTATATAAAGCGGGAACCTAAACACTCCAAAGCAAAAAAACCAGCTCTTTGTACAGAGAAAGAGACGTAACAATCCTTCTCCCACAGTTTGATGGATCAACCCAATCTTTACAGGTTTTCTGAAAATCAGAAGAGAGCGACCATTTGAACATCTGGAGGGGGATACTGGAGGGGGAAACATCTGGAGCAGCCACTGAAAAGCAGTGGTGGTATTCTACTGGTTTGGTTGAACCGGTATTTAAAAAAAAAAAGCTATCGGTTTGTATCTCTTTTTTTTTCCTCCTGACGACTAGCTGTTCCAAGGATCAGCTGCGCCAGGATCCCCCTCACTGTCTTACTGCTTCTCCCAGGAGGCTTCCCTGAGGCCCAGGAGGCAAAAAAAGGGGCACAGCCCCCCCCCGCCCCCATGCTCCGTTTTTTTGCCTCCTGGGCCTCAAGGGAAGCCTCCTGGGAGCAAAAACGTGGTTTTCCCAGCAGGCCTGGGGGAACCCAAAGTGTGATGGAGCCCATAAAATGGCTGATTTAATCATGTGATGAGGCAGGAGCTGGGTGGGTGGTAGGTTATTGTTTTATTTTAATCTTTTTTTAAAAAAATTCTATTTTTATTTTTTTTCCTATTTTGTGTTTTTTTTTAACTGTTTGTGAGCAAGTAGCCGGCTATATAAATGTCATAAACAAACAAACAAACAAACAAATAAATATTGCTCAAGTATATCTGGAGAACAGCTGGTTGACCATTGTACATTCTGTTCTACAGTTGTTCAGAAAACAGAGATACTCACTTGTAATCACAGATGAGCTTCTTGTTGCTACCTTCCTCTTCTGAATGACAAGATAAAGCGCTGGGATCTGGGCTGATCTGGACGCTAACAGCAGCTTCAGCACCCTCAGCAGAAAATGTCATGTTCCAGGTGTGTTGAGAGCAGTCAGGTCTTTGCCAGCTGTCAGCTCCACAAGGCATGTAGAATTGAAGAAGGTGGTAGGCTGGTGGGTTTTCTTTAGTTTCCTGAAGGAAGAGCGCATATCTATTAATCCTCCTGGTGACCAGACATTTAGATACAGATTAACAGAGTTGGAAGAGACCTTGTAGGTCATCTAGTTCAACCCCTCCGCCCAAGCAGACCTTACACCATATGTGACAGATGGCAGTCCAGTCTCTTCTTGAAAACTTCCACTGATGAAGCTCCCACAACGTCTGGAGGCAACTGTTCCATTGGTTGATTGTTTTCAATGTCAGAAAATTTCTCATTTCCAGGTTGAATCTCTCCTTCCATCCATTATTCCTTGTCTGGCCTTCAGGTCCTTTAGAAAATAGCTTGACCCCTTCTTCTCTGTGGCAGCCCCTCAGATATTGGAAGACTGCTATCATGTCTCCCCTGGTCCTTCTCTTCACTAGACTAGCCAAGCCTAGTTCCTGCAACCCTTGATCGTATGTTTTAGCCTCCAGTCCCCTAATCATCCTGGTTGCTCTTCTCTGCACTCTTTCTAGAGTCTAAACATTTTTTTTATAGTGTAGTAACCAAAACTGGGTGCAGTACTCTACGTGTGGTCTTACTAAGGCTTTATAGAGTGGTATTTGTGCATAATTGAGCAGTAAAGCAAAAACAGTAAAGAAACAGCCAAGCTTCCTACAGCTGGCTCCAATCCATTGGGTTCACAACCTCTGGTGATCACAGAAAAAGAAGTCCAAGATCTATTACACAGACAAAAGCCAGGAACAGCACCAGGGCCAGACCAGATAACTCCTTCTTGCTTAAAAGTCTGTGCTGACCAATTGGCCCCCATCTTCACCCAAATCTTCAATAGATCACTAGAGATGTGCTATGTTCCTTCTTGCTTCAAACACTCTACTATCATCCCAGTGCCAAAGAAGCCCTCCATCAAGGAACTGAATGACTACAGACCAGTTGCTCTAACATCTGTAGTTATGAAAATCCTTGAAAGGCTTGTGCTGTCCCACCTGAAAACCATCACGGATCCGCTGTTAGATCCCATGCAGTTTGCATACCGAGCAAATAGATCGACAGATGATGCTGTTAACATGGCTCTGCATTACATCCTACAACACCTTGAATCTCCAAATATCTACGCGAGGGTCCTCTTTGTAGACTTCAGTTCAGCATTCAATACCATCATTCCAGACACTCTTTTAATTAAATTAAACCAACTAGCGGTACCTGAACACACTTGTAAGTGGATCATAAGCTTCCTAACAGACAGGAAGCAGCAGGTGAAGCTAGGTGGAATCACATCTGATACCTGTACCATTAGCACAGCAGCCCCCCAAGGCTATGTGATTTCTCCACTTCTCTTCTCTCTCTATACCCTACATTCCCTTGCTGGCTTGGGAATTTTAGGAGTTGAACATCAAACATCCTAGTTACCAAGTTTGAGAAACATTGGGCTAGACAGAGAAAGGTTTTTTTTACTGTTTTCTCTTTAAATGAAGTAAACCAGAAAGAGCAGGAACACAGGGCTGGACTGTGAGCCATTGTCCGCAAGTTGAGAAGCCTCCTGCCCAATCTTTTGATTTAAATTTAGCTAATTTAAGACAACGTGGCTCCATTTTAATCTGGGCTTGTATTTTTTCTTGTTTTTCGGAGGAGCAACAGTTGTTCCTCCTAAGACAGGTTTGTCAAACTGGCAGCCCGCGGGCCGGATGCGTCACGTGCAGGCCATGCCCACCCCAGCTACCGCAAAGCGATGCGTCAAGTGACAGCAACACGATGCTGTGGGTTTGACACCGGCGTCCTAAGATATTGGTCTGGATCATGACAAGGCAGAGAACCAAAACCAGAGCTGCCAAACCAAGTAAAAAAAACAAACAAAAAAAGATTGCAGATTACGACGCTCTCCTTGGCTGAGGGATTGAAGTCCGCCTATCTTGAAGTTGATAAGGTCAAGAAAGACTGCAACGTAGAACCAGTGGTGGGATTCACATTTTTTTTACTACCGGTTCTGTGGGTGTGGCTTGGTTGGAAGTGGCAGGGGAAGGATACTGTAAAATCTGCAGTCAAAGGTGGGATTTGCCGGTTCTCTGAACTACTCAAAATTTCTGCTACCGGTTCTCCAGAACTGGTCAGAACCCGCTGAATACCACCTCTGTGTAGAACACGCAAACAAATTTGCAGAAGTTTAGCAGTAATTTGGGAACTGTGAGAGAAAAGGAGACTCACCGAGGCTGTTTTGGGAATGACAGTGATGAGCAGAGTCAGGTAGTTTTGTGATGAACTGGTTTTGGCTGTAAATGTCGCAAGACTGAAAGAAAAGTTAGTGGTGATTGTTAAGAATGGAGGCATATCTTTGGAAGGGTGATATGAAAAGACCCCCCCCCCCAACACACAGGGGTCCCCAACCCTTGGGCCACAGCCTGGTACTGGGCTGTGGCCTGTTTGGAACTGGGTCACCCAAACCGCGGACAAGTGCACACATGCAGCTCAGTGGTGGTATTCAAATTTTTTTACTACCAGTTCTGTGGACATGGCTTGGTGGGAGGGGAAAGATACTGCAAAATCCCCATTTCCTCCTTACCCCATTAACCTGCTTTCCAGCTCCGTTCTCCTGGGCAGGGCAACCAAAGAAGACCCAGCCAATCAGCTGGGACTCGATGGGAAGCCGATAGTAGATGGGGGCGGGGCCAATCAGAGGCCAATCAAACTACTCAAAATTTCCACTACCGGTTCTCCAGAATCTGTCAGAACTGGCTGAATACCATCTCTGATGCAGCTCCATTTGTGTGAGTGGTGGGCACTCGTGCGCACACATGAAACTCCAGCACAAATGGACCTTCGCTTGTGCATGCGAGTGCCCACTGCTCATGCACACTGAGCTGCCCATGCGAACATGCACGCCTGCCACCTTCATGGGTCCATTTCCTCTCCCCCGCTTCCCTGGCTGGTTCTGCAAAACCAAAATGGTCCGAGATCACTGCTTTAGACAACCCAGCACTTACATTACTAGTTAGGACTGGCTCTGACCCAGAGGTGGTATTCAGCAGGTTCTGACCAGTCCTGGAGAACCGTTAGCAGAAATTTTGAGTAATTCGGAGAACCAGCAAATCCCACCTCTGACTGGCCCCACCCCCATCTATGCTCTGCCTCCCGAGTCCCAGCTGATTGGCTGGGTCTTCTTTTGTTGCCCGGAACAGGAGAATGGAGCTGGAAAGCAGGTGAGTGGGATGAGGAGGGAATGGGAATTTTGCAGTAACCTTCTGCTGCCACGCCCACAAAGCCACGCCCACCGAACCAGTAGTAAAAAAAATTGAATCCCACCACTGCTCTGACCCCATTTCAAATTTAAAATAATTCAAAGAAGTCAAGAAAGTTACAACACATGGCTTTCAGAGTGTCTCTCTCTGAGATTAAGTATTGGAACTGCAATCCTATCTGTTTCAAGATTCCCTCTAAGGAATCTTCCCTTTTAATCCAAGTCAAACTGTAGATAAATGTTTGGAATAAATGGAAGGTTGCCTCATGATGGCATGAATACTTGAGGCAGAAATTGGTTTTCTAACGACTGGGTTTGTGTATCGCAATAAACCATAATGCAATTGCTTGGGTGCACTGTCCAAAACCAGCCATAATGGTTTAAAAACTGGATTTAGTAGAAGGAGGAGAAAGCTACTTTAATACCAATACTGGCAGGCCTTGACTTATGACCAGAACTGAGCCCCAAATTTCTCTTGCTAAGGGAGACAGTTACGTGAATTTTGTCCCATTTTATTATCTTTCTTGCCACAGTTATTAAATGAATCACTGCAGTTGTTAAGTTAGCAACTTGATATCAGACCTGCCCTAATTTAGACATTTTGGAAAAAAAAGACCCTCCGTTTGATTGAAGTGATAGGTTCTGTGATGACCCGGGGCGTGGGTCAACACAGGCAACACAGTCAGATAACTAGTCGGAGTCCCTTTATTAGCTCCAACTTTGCCCCCAGTGTCCTGGTTACCTTCTAGCTGGAAAAAAACTCTCCCAGGAACAGCCTTTGGCTGCAGAGAATGAAGTCCAAAACTTGGTCAACAAAAACTGTAACTATAAGTCCAATCAAGGCAAAATGAGATAACGAATCTGGCAGGGCAGGAGTAAGAAGTCCAGACATGAAGGCATGGCAATAACTCAACATGGTTGGGAAGACACCAGGAACACAGATATTCAAAGTCAATACAAGATAAACTCATGTTTGCTCCCAGCAGCTGCCACACTCAGCGTGCATTTCTTTAAAACTCTCTTCCTAGCTGTGGCTAATGAAGGGAATCAGGGCCCTTTCCTCCCCCAGAAGCCACACAACCCATGTTGCTCTCTTCTCCATTCTTCAGGTCCTTTAACTAAAGCTAAGTGGCTGCAGAGAAAGTAAAGCTAGATCTGAACATGCCTGAAGAAAGATTACACTTTTTCCCCTTTCCCTGGCCCTCCCCACTTGACCAGTCCATCAGTGTCCAATAGGATGTCTTTTGGATGTTTTGGGAATGACTCAGAGTGTGGCGTTGCTCACTGCGTTTTTGCATTTGGTACCCAGCCCAGGTGTCCTTGGAGACTGGTTTATTCCTATTTGGCACCTCTGGTTCCCATTAACATCCCTCCTGCCGTTTGTCTTCTCACTCCCATATTACTGCCCAAATTTCTCCCCCTACTTCCTTTGCAATTTATGGCAGGATGCCAGAAAAGTGAAGAAGCTGAAGATGCCGGACCGGACACACGATATCCCAAATGTTGGTACTGCTATCTTACCTTGAGGCAAAATTGGAGCTATTGACAGGTGCCACAAATGTTGCCACGAGAAGAGTGCTCTCTCCTTTCTTCAAGAAACGTTGTGCTGGTCTAAAGCTCTGTGTGAGATGCAGGTCATCTCGGACATTAAAGGTGAACGTTGCAGCTGCTGATCCATCATTCACCACCTGGACAGAGACCTCTAGGCTCTCACCGGGCAACAATGTACCTTGGAAATACAATAGGGCACACTGAAGATGGGGGGGATAACTTGCAATTAAAGGTGACTGAGTTGTCATATAATGGAAGTCCTCACCATTTGGTACTGATGGCTCCTTTGAACTTTCTGAGAACCATTGTGGCGCAGTGATTAGGATGCAGTATTGCAGACTAACTCTGCCTACTGCCAAGAGTTCAATCCTGACCGGCTCAAGGTTGACTCGGCCCTCCATCTTTATGAGGCCAGTAAAATGAGGACCCAGATTCTTGGGGACAATATGCTGATTCTGTAAACCACTCAGAGAGGGTTGTAAAGTACTTGTCATGCCTCTGTTGGAATCTGATTCCGAGGGGGAGGTGGAACAGCTGACAGGGAGTGGGAGTGTGGCTCCGGTGGCTGTGGAGAAAACTAGGGAAGAGCACAGTCCGGCTGGGCATTTAGAGGAAGACCCAGGCTCACCCACTCTTCATCCTAGGGCAAGCAGGGAGAAACAGATAAGGGAGCAAAGTGGATTACAGGGGAGAAAAAGGCCTTGATTCCCTTCATTGGCTGCAGCTGGGAAAACAGGACATAAAGGGTGTTTGTGCACAGCACCATGCTGGGAGCAAAGCATGCATTATTATTGTTTGTCAAATCTAATCTGGGTTCTGGCATCCTCCCAACTGTGTGTTTCATTATCTTTTGAAGTCTGCAGTTCCTTATCCTGCCCTGTCTCATTAATTGCTGCAGCGTGGTTTGTGTTGGTTTTTATTTATAATTTATATGGGTTCGGACTGAATTTCTTCCCTTTAAAAACTGTTCTTGGGAGAGGTTTTTTTTCTCCAGCCGATGATAACTGGACATTGGGGGCCAAGTTGGAGGAATTAAAGGGACTTCACCTACTTTTGTGACTTAGTTGCTTTTGTGCCACGCCCTGGGTCATCACAGCACTGTGAAGCAGTGTATAAGTCTAAGTGCTATTGCCAAGTGCTAACCTGTAGTAGGTGCTGAAAGGCAATGGTTATTATGGGGGAGGAATAAACTTAGATCCAAATGACTCCAATGGGGCTGAGCGATCACCAGTCTCAAAATAACCATTTTTCAGCCAGCATTCATCAAAAGCCAAATTCATTTATTAGAAGGCAGCCCTTCCCAAATTCTTCATCCTTTCAGGATTCTCTCCATCCTCCTGTCCCTTAAAGGTTTTCCTTGACATACGACCACAATGGAGCTCAACGTTTTTGTGGTTACGTGAGACATTTGTTAAGTGAGTTTTGCCCCATTTTATGACCTTTTCTTGCCACAGTTGTTAAGTGAATCACTACAGTTGCTAACTTAGTAACCTGGTAGTTAAGTGAACTTGACTTTGCTTGTCAGATGGACATAAACGGAGATCACATGACCTTGGGACACAGCAGCGGTCATAAATATGAACCAGTTGCCAAGTGCGTGACTTTTGATCATCTGATCATGGGATGCTATAAAGGTCATAACTGAGAAAAACAGTCACAAGACACTTTTTTCAGTGCCATCGTAACTTTGAATGGTCACTACACGTACTGCTTTAAGTCGAGGACTATCTGTAGTCCTCACTTAAAAACCTGTGGCTTCAAAAGTGACCGTTTGAAGTTACAATGGACCTCCACAGAAGGACTTTCAATTTGATTTCAAAGTTACGATGGCCGCTTCCCCCAGATAGTCACATGATCGCTGTCAACTTTAAAAAAAAACTCCTTTGGTCTTTTTAGTTGCCAGCAGAAAGGGCGGCGGGGGGGAAGCAGTGCATTCCTTAAATGCCTTAGATAATCGCCTTAGCAGCCCAAAGCAGTTGGCATGCAAGAAATTTGCTGGAGAGCATGATTGAGGATTCTTGGCTATGGATGTGTCCCATTGGAGAATGTACATCCAGGGGGCGAGGAGAAGGCCAGGGTCAAGGGGGAAATGAATGATGTATTTCAGTGTTGGCTGCACCCAGCTAATGCCAACTTGTCCATTCCCAATAAAACATTTTTTTAACTCTGAGAGATGAGGCTAGAGACTTATAATTTGAACGGGGGTGGATTTGTTAGTGCCCTGACAATTGCACTTTGGATATGTGGCTACCGGCTCACATTTATGGCTGTTTGTAGCATCCTGCAGTCACATGACCAAGTTTGGGGGAAGTTTCCAGTATTCCTGGTTTCCAGCCAAAAATAATAATAATAAAGCCCATTGGAGAAAAATGGGTTTGTTCGACAAATTGCCAGGTTTGCTTAAAATCCGCTACAACAAAGTTGTAAAATCAGGCATAATTACAGGGCCTTTATTACAGGTTCAGTTACAGTTGTAAGTCGAGGGCTGTCGTATTTTGGTTTTTCTGAGAAGACGGTCACATTTATTGGGCGTCGATAATTTTTATTTTCTAAGGCTGACTTTGCAGGTTTCCATGGAGCTGAAATACCGTTGGAAACAAAGCTAAATATTAGAGGCTGGGACCAGGTTTTACAGCACGCCGACTTCCCTTTTCATTCTGTTTCAGTCACTGCTAAGAAAGGAAATGGAAAAAGGAAAGCAAGCCATTTGGTTCCTGAACAGCAAGGAAAACAGATGTGCTTCTCCTCAGGTCTGCAGGCATTGCATTTATATCAGCTGGTTTACCTGCTTTGAATAGTAAAATGGAAAATGCTCCTGGTTTTTAATTTTTTTTAAAAAAAGACGCCTCCTTCCATTTTTTTTTTCTGGGATGAAAATTAACTGGACTCTTTCAGGGGAGGCGGGAGGGGGAATTCCGGGAGTTGAAGTCCCCATGTCTTGAAGTTGCCAAGTTTGAAAAAATGAGGTCGCACACCTTGGTTTGTTTCAACATTCTTGTCCCAAAGACAACTGGACTTTTTGTGCTTTGCTCAAAGACCTTTCGCTTCTCATTCAAGAAGCTTCTTAGGCTCTGAATGAAGTCTGAACTGATAAACAACTCTCAGAAAGAGTGCTAACAACCAGATGACTGTAAGGAATATAAATCCTCCCGTTCGCCACCATTCAGTCAGAACTGAAGAAGCTTCTGGGATGAGAAGCGAAATGTCTTCAAGCAAAGCAAAGATAGTCCAGTTGCCTTTTGAACAAGCATCTTTGGGACAACCCTGACCTGGATGAGAATCTCCATAGACTTTCAACAGTCTTCTTAGCGGTGTCTGTGAGTTCTGAATGGAAGGTAGGTAGATGTAGCACCAATTGAAGAGCATCTATGTAGCTCTGGGTCGAACTATGGAGTCCTTGAGGCTTTCTGTCCTTTGTTGTTTGCTTGTAGATGTTTTGTTTCCTGACTTGATAAGATCTAATTACTTGGTTGGCAACATCTGTTATCTAATTGGGGAACAAAATGTCTACAAACGAACATCCAAAGATTCCACAGGTAGATGCAGTTCCACTAGAACTGACTATGGAGATTCTCCATCATCCAGGTCATACTTGCTCCAAAGGTGGTTATTCTAAAAAGCAGGGGGACTTTCTTGGTTTTCTACTTAACGTTTTGCTTCTCATCCAAGATGTTTCTTCAGTTCCGAAGTGATGAATAGCTGAAGAAGCTTCTTGGATGAGAAGCAAAACATTAAAGATAAAACCAAGGAAGTCCAGTTGCCTTTTGGAAGAAACATCTTTGGGTTTACAAGATCGGACGTGCAAATAATGACCAATAGGTGGTAGCAAATTCTTATATATTTTTTTTCTGTACCTCTTTGCTGCCATGTTTGCTTTTGGCTCACAGCTCTGGTAGTCCTAGGTCCATGATGGCGAACCTGTGTCACATGTGCCAGAAGTGGCACGCAGAGCCATCTCTCTGGGCACGCTAGCCATCGCCCGTTGCTCTTCCGTGTTCCAGCATGCCAGCCAGATGGTCTTCGTGCACACAGGAGCACCAGAAACCGGAAGAGGAGCACATGCGTGTGCTGGCCAGCTGGTCTTCAGGCACGCAGGAGCACCAGAAACCGGAAGAGGAGCACATGCGTGTGCCGGCCAGCTGGTCTTCATGCACGCAGGAGCACCAGAAACTGGAAGAGGAGCGCATGCGTGTGCCGGCCAGCTGGTCTTCGCACATGCACGCACATTAGAAACCAGAGGAGCAAGTGGATAGTGCCTATGCACATGCCAGGAAGTTAAGCTTCTGGTTTCTGGCGCTCCTGCGTGCATTTGTCAAGGAGGCTGCTCTTCCGGTTTCCGGCACCCGCGCAGATGGATCAAAATGGCAAAATAAGTTTTCATACTGCTGCCAGGACTTACAATCTTGGTCGGCCAAGGGTAGAATCCTTATTGACGCCACATGGATGGGATTGGTGTTGAGGCGTGAGAAGGGCAGGTTGCCAGGAGACAGACCTTCCACTCTTAATATTGGAGACTGGAAAGTAAAAAAAGGGAATTAATGGATTTTACATTGTTTGTCTCTTGCATCTTGAACAGAGAAGAGATTATTCCAATCATTTCTACTGCTCTGGGTAGATAACTGTACTCAGCTGCTTAGAAGCTGCTTTTTAAAATATAAACAAAGTCCTTAAAGGCTTAAGAAATTATAGCTATAGTCATTTTTTGCAGTTCGTAATACCGTAGCTGGCTATAGAAGGAAACCTTAATTCTGCTTTTTTCTTTTCTTTTTTCTTTTTGGGCTTTTATTTTAATCCTTTGTAGTTTTAATTGGAGCAATCTGGATTTTGTTTTGAATGCTGCTGTTTTAGACTGTGATTGCATTTCTTTCTTTCTTTTTTCTTTTTAATAAAGTTTTATTTGGGTTTTCACACATACAAAATACAAGTAAAACATCTTTTTTGAAAATAGCATGGTCCCGGGTTGAACTTCTTCATACAGACACAAAACTCAATTTTATGCTCCTTTTTGTGTTCTATTCCATATCTTATACTATTCTACATTTTCTATATAGTTTTTCCCCTCTTTTAATTTTCTCAATTTTATTTTGATTATCTCATTTCAATTCAAATCATTATATTTATACTTTTGTTTGTTCTGTTTCAATTTCATATTATCTTTTCTCATTAAACAAATGTTCTCCTGTAGTTACTAATTGGAGTATGACACCTTTATATCTTTTAATTACATCCATTCAACTCTTATTTAAACTTCAATATATACCTTAAGTTTATGACCTTCAATATAATACATAATACATAACTTCCAATCGAATTCTGCTTGGTACTTTCTCATAATACACACTATATTCTTTTTTTAAAAAAAAGAAAGATTGTAAACATATGTAATTATAAACCCTCATACCATTCCAGTTCAGTTCTATCATTAATAATCATTAAAACCTTAACATCTTTAACACTTCTTTTCAATTAAATATCATACTTCCTTAAAAACACATATAATCTCCATAATTAATTTTTCCCTTATTTCTCTTCACATATGTTTTATAAATCATTAAATATACCTTTTGTTACATTTATTTATTGACAATCATTCCACTAAATTACGGCAGCTTTTTATCAGACATTTTAATCATACATTGTTTCATATTTTCTAAAATTATTTCTGATTCTAATATAACCATACTATCTTATGTACCTTTGCAGAATCCCTTTTTCCATTAAGTTTTCACGCATTATCTCTAAATAGGCCCTGTTTCTCTATATTTTGCTTCTGTCCTTTATAACTTCTTTTCCTTTCTTTCTTCCCTCTCATCTTCTCCCTCCCCCTTTTACCCCCTTGTCTCTCTAGTTCTAATTCTCTCTTCTGCATTTCCCTCTTCTGTTGCTTTCTGATTTTATACTTATTTTTCACTCTAATTTTTTTTGGAGTTATTTTTCCCAATCTTAAACTTTCCATTCTCTTTCCCCCCTTTCCTCCCCCACCACCTAAGATTACTTGTTCATTAAACATGGCTTCTTCTTTGTCACAATCTTCTTGTTCTGCAGGCATTTCTTGTTGTTTCTCATAATTCCAAATCTCCATTTCTAAAAACTGAAATACGAAGCCAAAAGAACCTCTCCCTTCTTGTGCATCTTCTTTGTACTTTTAAAGTTCCATTTTCAGTCCTTCTAAAAGTGGAGCCATTTTAAACAGTTTTAAACAACCACCGGATTGATTTTAGTCATTCAAAACAATAACCAAGAATCCAGAAATCATCAAGTAATCCAGATAGTCCCGAGTTATATCTTCTTATTTCTTTTTTGACTTTCTCTTCCTGGGGTTTTTGTTGCGATATTTCAGTTAGACTGTATCTTTTGGAAGTCTTGTTGAGATTTTGCTATAAGTTCTTTTTTAATTCCAGGCAGTCTCCTCCCTTCCAGATCCTACCCTTTTATTTTATTTTCTCTCCTTTCCTTTTTTCAAAAGCTTTTAATTATCCAGAAATCTTTATTATCCCTTTGACTTTTTATTTTCAGCATTAAATGCCTATTGATGTCAAAGTGGATTTTTTTTCCAATTTCTTGCTTAAGTCTCTTAGCTGTCAGTATAGGAAAAGGAGAAAACCAAATCTTTTCCCTTTTCTCTCTCCTTCGCAGCTTAAAAATCTTCTTAGGGAACAATGTTATTGTTTTTTAACAGTTTCAATTCCAGGGTACCTCATTTGTTGTTTTTGCTGTTTGACCCGGTCAACCAAAACTTTCTCTTCTTATCTTCCTCCTGCACATTCTTTTCCAGTTGAGTTCTTTGTGGTGGCCATTTCTGACCACCACTGCAACCGCCTTCGGAAAAGGGAATAATGGCCATCTGGGGAGGAGAGATGCGGCTCTCCTCAACCCTGCTGGCAGTCTCCCCCCTCTTCACCACCTCTACGGGGTGGCTTAGCCCCAAAACCATCCGGCTCGGGGTGCTCCAGTGGCAAGCACAGATCGAAGCCTTGCAGAAATGAGGTTTCAGTCTGTTGCTGAAGAAGCTCAAACCAGAAGGCCCCTCCGATTGCATTTCTTTGGTTGATTATTTATTTATTATATTTAATTCCCTTGCCCTGGGGGACTATAAGCCAGGCTCCTAATTCACTGCCTCATATGAACTCATATCCTCATAAAAGAGATTATCAGGGTTCTAAGTAACAGACCCAAAGCAATCAAAACTCCGAGGCAGACACATTCCTCAAAGTATGAATTTATTAGGAACGTCATATTGGCACAGCTGGTTAAAAACCTGACTCTGAAGGACCAGAGGTTTTCCCCACCAGAATCAAAACCCCAAAGTTCTTGCCCCCAGATCACACGTCTGTCACGTGGTCCAATCAGGTCACAGCCCCAACTCTGGCTGGTTTTGGTCCACGCCTCTCCAACACCTGCTTAGAACGTCCTTGGCTCCCATGGGAAAGAATGTTATTTTGGCTACATATTCCCCAGCTATCACTATCTCTCCCCTCATGTTTCCCACAGCTCCAACTCGCCTTGCTGTGGCAGGCCTGAAGATGCTCCCCAAATTGAACGGGTTCAGAGGTATTTCTTGAGAAAAGTACTCCACTTCTCCACTCACTATAGAATTCCCTATGCTTCCAGGCTCGAAATTTCGGGCCTGGACAATCTGAAATTGTGCCGCCTGTGGTCTGATCTATGCATAGAATTTTGAATTTTGGTCATGTGACCATGGGGATTTTGACAAACTGAATTTTGGTCATGTGACCATGGGGAAGCTGCAATGGTGGTAAGTATGAAAATCAGTCATAAGTCATTTTTCTCAGAGACGTTGTAGCTGTCACTGAACAAACTATTGTAAGTCAAAGACTACCTGTACCAATAAATGAGGGAAGCAAAGAAGATAATCAGAAGGATAAGCATTAATATTACAGTCACACTATATGGATTAATATGCATAGACATTAGACAGAATGTTCTCTTAATGGTTACCATGGAAGTTTTAAATGGTCATGCAACATGAAGCCAAATCAGAATGAAAAAACAAACAAACTGTGATTCATACCAATGAATCCAGATGAATCGGGACAAAGGCCAGGATATTGCCAAGGCCATCAGATGTTTGGTTTAAAATGATGGAGTGAATAGGACCTCTTAGTCCATCAGAAATGACCAGACGCTGCATCTGGGTACCTCTGGCTGCCTCCAGCATCTTTATGGAGATGGTATAGTTTGATCCTGAGAAAAATGGAGAAAGTTAGCAGAGCACTCCTCCAGAGTCCTGTCTCTTCCTCAATACTTCTGAGATATCCCAAAGGTGATTTTTTTTCAAGAGGTAAGGGGACTTTCTTGTTTTTTCTTTTGGAGAAGTTTTGCTTCTCATCCAAGAAGCTTCTTCAGCTCCGACTGGATGGTGGGGAATGGAAGGATTTATACTCCTTGCAAACAACCGGCCATTTTGTTAAGGTATTAGGACTTAAGAGCTGACCAGCAATGAATAGCTGCTATATGCTGTGAAGCTGATATAAGTCTGGCTGATGTAACAAGAGTGATTCAGCAGAGTATGAGTATTTTCCCTTTAAGATCCCCTTAAGAGGTGTGTATATAAATGGCAGCCATTAGAGGGCGAGGTTCTCTTTCCTTGTGACCAGTATTCAGCGCAGAAATTCTCCGTGTGTTAGGAAGAAGAAAAACTTGCTTGTAAAATTATGCTACCACATGTAAATATTGTCTATATATACTTGTATATTAAACCACTGTTAATATCTAAGTCTCTGTGTTCTATATGTTGTTCCTGGGTTATCTCATAAAGGTAGTCGCACTGCCAAATGCTCTGACAATTTGCATACTTTTTAGAGAGTCTTTCAGGCCACTTGGAGTTTAATTTGTATGTCCTCAGGGTCACCTGAGTAGTGCCAGCATCTCAAACTGAAGCGCAAATGGTTCCTGTAGTCTGTAATTTTTTCTGGAAATCCATTCATGCTCCAGCACCATTCGAAGAGTGTTCATCCTAAAGTGGACAGTTAAATCTCTATGGAGATTCTCAGTCATCCAGGTCATGGTTGTCCCAACATGCTTTTTCACTTTCTTGTTTTTCTTTGAAGACATTTCACTTCTCACCAGTGGTGGGATTCAAAAATGTTTACCACTAGTTCTGTGTGTGTGGCTTGGTGGGCGTGGTGTGGCTTGGTGGGTGTAGCAGGGGAAGGATGCTGTAAAATCCCCACTCCTGGGGGAAGGATACTGCAAAATCTCCATTCCCTTCCCAGCCCACTAACCTGCTTTCTAGCTCCGTTCTGTGCAGGGTAACAAAAGAAGATGCAGCCAATCAGCTGGGACTCGGGAGGCAGAGAAGAGATGGGGGACGGGGCCAGTCAGAGGTGGGATTTGCCAGTTTTCTGAACTACTCAAATTTTCCGCTACCGGTTCTCCAGAACTGGTCAGAACCTGCTGAATATCCACCTCTGCTTCTCACCCAAGAAACTTATTCAGCTCTGAATGGATAGTGGGGAACGGAAGGATTTATAGTCCTTTCAGAGAGCTGGTAATTTGCGTTCTTTGAGATCAGGAGTGTCAAACTCAATTTCATTGAAGGTCGCATCAGGGTCGTGTTTGATTTCGAGGGGGCAGGGCAGGCATGACCAGCTCGACATCACTCATGCCGGGGTCATTTGTGGTGGTTCAAGGGCTCTGCCAGAGAAAACAGGCTCCCGAGCTTCGTTTTTGGCTGTGATGGCCTCCTGCAACCCCCTGCCAGTGAAAATGAAGCTCGGGAGGGCTGTGTGTAACCCTCGTGAGCTTTGTTTTCACTGGCAGAGGCACCGTGGGCCAGTCTTTTGCTGTCTTCAGGGCAGCCCTGCAGGCCAGATCTAAGCACCCTGCAGGCCGGATCTGGCCCCTGGGGCCTTAAGTTTGACACCCCTTGTGCTGGTTAGACAGTATACAGTTAGTTTAGGAATGAGAGCTGCCCCCTTAAGGGAATGCTTCATGGGAAATGTAGTTAATGCCTCTTGGGAGATGTAGTCCATGTCACATGGTCACATCTTTAATCCTGATTGGTCACTGAATTGATCTCTGGTTGGGCTGGGGGAGTTTTGGGGGCATTCTTGCCTGGACCACAGCATCGTGCTGGAGGCTTCCTTTGCTATAATACTATGGGATGAAGATAACTATCTTTTCACTTTCATGTTCCAGGCAATCCTTTTATGTCCCCAAAGTTCCTGGAGCAAGCAGTCCAACACTATTGAGGTGACTATCAAGGCAAAGATTGGACTGTTAGTTAGATGGATCTCAGCATAAATGTGATTTATATTTTGAGGATGCCTAACAAAATCCAATAAAGGAACTTTGCATGGAAGCCTTTGTACTGTTGGACTGCTTGTCCCAGGAACTTTGGGGACATATGAAACCCCTGTTTTAGAGAGTTGTGGAGGCCACCTTGGGACAACCATGAGCTGGATGATTGACAAGCTCCATTTAGTCATTTAGCTACACACCGAGAGCTTATGCACTGGAGATAAATCCCTTGTGTGTGTCCAATCACACTTGGCCAATAAAGAATTCTGTTGACTAGAAAACTTACCTTTCACAGGCTGTCCTTGGATTGGAAGTATGTAGTCATTCTGCTTTTGCATTATCTGGTAAGTAAAGTCAAGCAAACTCTTGCCTCTGATCTCTACCTCATAAGAGCCCCCGGGAGTCATAGATACAGCCCACCGACCTGGCTGAGGGAGAGGAGATACCTTCACGACCTTGTGATTGCTTGTGTCAATCATCATACGATACTTGGTGAATGGATCACCTATCGTGGAATATCACACACAAAAAAGGAAGGAATTATATTAGTGCTCCTCAACATCCCGACCACAATTGAGGTTGCTCCAAAATTTCTTGTTCCTAAGTGAGACGTCTGTGAAGCGAACTTTGCCCCCTTGTACGACTTTTCCTGCTGCAGTTGTTAAGCGAATCCCTGCAGTTGGTCAATTAGTCACACATGGTTGCTAAGTGAAACAGGTCTCCTCCCCCACCATTGATTTTGCTTGTCAGGTGGTCACAAAAGGGGAATCGCTTGACCCCTGGATGCTGCAACCATCATAAGTATGAGTCAGTTTGCTAGGCGCCTGAATTTTGATCACGTGACCATGGGGATGCTGCAATGCTCCTAAGTGTGAAAAATAATCACTTTTCTCAGTGACGTAGTAACTTTGAATGGTCACTAAATGAACTGAAGTCAAAGACTATCTGCAGAGGCTAAAATGGCCGGCATTATGGCTTCCTCCAATTTCGGGCATCCATGATTGTGCAACTGAAGGCCCCCCCCTTTTTTTACACATGTCCTACATCAGACAAGGGAAGATGCTTGTGTGACGACCTGGGGTGTGGCACAAAGGCAACACAGTCAGATAATCAGTAGGAGTCCCTTTATGAGCTCCAACTTTGCCCCCAATGTCCTGGCTGGAGAAAACCTCTCCTAGGGAACAACCTTTGACTGCAGAGGATCATATCCAAAACATGGTCAACACAAACTGTAACTATAAGTCCAATCAAGCCAAACTGAGGTAATTCGTTTGGCAGGGCAGGAGCAAGAATCCCAGACTTGCAGGCAGTGCAATACTCACATGGTTGGGAGGATGTCAGGAACACAGATAAGCAAAGGCAACACAGGATAAATCACGTTTGCTCCCAGCAGCTGCCCCAGTCAGCATTCAATTCTTTTAAACTTTCATTCCCTGGTGTGGCTAATGAAGGGAATCAGGGCCTTTTCCTCCCCCCAGAAGCCATGCAACCCACGTTGCTCTCTTCTCCGTTCCTCCCTGCATCCCCTAGGATGAAGAGGGGGATGGGCCTGGGTCTTCCTCTGGAATCCCTCTCCCTTGTTCTACCTCTTCCCTGCTCTGCCCAGCTGGACTTTGCCCTTCCCCAGCCTCCCCCACAGCCAACGGAGCCACACTCCCATTCCCTGTCACCTGTTCGTCTTCCTCCTCAGATTAGACTCTGACGGGGGAATGACAGTTTGCTTGCATAGTTGCAGCCTTGTGTGATCTTTTTATATACTCTGTTCAATTACCTGAAGGTTGCAAGATATTAAAGTTGAATCTCATGTGCCTTAATGTCTTGACTGAGATTGATATTTCGGAGAGAGTTTCATCCACAGGGAAGGAGAACTGGGACCCATCCACACAATTATGGGCTATTTTAACAGGAGCGGCATTCATGGACAGCTCCACTGTGCCAAAGGCCTTAGAAAGTTGCTTTTTCTTCATGTTCAAGAAGTAGCCACCAGAAAAGGAGGCTAAATCTTCATAGACTCTTTGAGAGGCTCTAGCGTTCCTCTTAACAACTTCTGCAAACAAAAATGAAATACACATTTCTCCTTTTAAGTAGCTCCTCCCGAGTTCACCCTTTAAGGCAAATCATTTTAGAAAAGTGCCCTTTTGTTCCTATAAAGGTAGTCCTTGACTTACGACCACAGTGGAGCCCGAAAGGTATGTTGCTAAGCGAGATATTAGTGAAGTGAGTTTGGCCACATTTCTTAAGCGAATCACCACAATTGTTAAGTTAGTGTGTCGTGTAAGCATCTTTTGTGACCAGCAAAGTCAGTGGGAAGGCAGAGTCACTTAATAAACATGTTACTAACTTAATCCCTGCAGTGATTCACTTAACAAACTCTGGCCCGAGCGGTTGTAAAAGGAGGCAAAATTCACTTAACCACTGTCTCACTTAGCAACAGAAATTTGGGGCTCAATTGTGGTCGTAAGTTGAGGACTACCTATATATGGTCCCTTGATCAATGAAATATGCCTACGGCCAGGGACATCTGCATGTTTCTGAAATGCCGTGGAAATTGACAAAACCACTCATAGCATCATGGCCCTAGCACAGAGGTCTCCAACCTTGGCAACTTTAAGACCTGTGGACTTCAACTCCAAGAACTCTGGGAATAGAAGTCCACAAGTCTTAAAGTTGCCAAGGTTGGAGACCCCTGACTCATAGCCTCATGGCCCCAGCACAGTCCAATGAAGTGCTGAAGGGGCGGAGTTTGAATCATGTCCTCATGACACGTCCTTCCTCATTTGCCCTTCCTTGCCCTCCTTCCTAGACTTATATACCGCGGCATACCTCTAAGCGGTTTAGAGCAGTGGTCCCCAACCTTTTTTGTGCCACGGCCCGGTACCGGCATCACAAAATCATCTGCGGCCCAGTACATTATCAGCACGCATGGCAAAGCGAGCCAGGCGACCGACCAGCCAGCCGTCGCCCGCTTCGCCCTGCCACCTTCAACTCCTCCTTTGTACCTGTGTCGATGGGCTTCGCGACAGCTTTGGGACGGTCACTCGGCTTGCCTCACCATGCGTGCTGAAAGAATCCTTGCGCCTTAGTTTTGTTCGAAGCCGCCCCCCGCCTTGATGAAACTAAGGTGCGAGGATTCTTTCAGCACCCAAACACCGCTTTCTACCCGGAAAAGCTCACCTGAAGCACTTTTTCATCAAAACAAGATGGCGGCACCCAGCAAACCGGCGGCCAGGTAGAAATTGTTCCACGGACTGGTCCCGGTCCGGGGACCGGTGGTTGGGGACCCCTGGTTTAGAGAGTCAGCATATTGCCCCCGACAATCTGGGTCCTCATTTTGCCAACCTCTGAAGGATGAAGGGCTGAGTCAACCTTGAGCCAGTGGAACCCGAGCTGCCAAACTGCTGGCAGCTGGTGATCAGCGGGAGTAGCCTGCAGCGCTGCATTCTCACTACTGAGCCACCACGGGTTGGACTAGAAGACCTCCAAGGTCCCTTCCAACTCTGTTATTCTGTTCTGTTCTGTTCTATCTTTACTGCCCTCCCCACTAAGACTCATGGATGCCATTGGCAGCAAGGGCCTTTCTTTAGGTTGTTTCAGACCACCAGGGATTCTGGCTTACCATCTCGTACAAAAATGTTCTTGGCGGCTTCAGTGGCCATTTGTCCAGCTTCTTGGTGCAAATAGGAATGAGAAGAGAGGAGAAGGTCAGTCCCCCTTTTATGGCTTTCCCCAGGAGAGGAGGAAACTTTGATGGCATCGTTTTTCCTGTCATGTCCACTGTTCCATATTAGCAGGCTTGAAACCCTGTGTTCCTATTGGTCCAGAAAAGCCGGATCGTGATTGGATGGCTTGAACGTTCCTGATTGGCTCATACAGGGTTTGCCGCGATTGGCTGAAACCAAGCGCGGCAAACTCAAAGAGTTGTCATTGGCTGACTACCCGCTGCCAGCTCTATAAGAAGAGCTGCCGCACGCTAGGGTTTCCCCAGTCTCAGAATCTATCTGTTAAATAAAGAGCTGTTGTTCACTACTCGAGTCTCGCCTATTCATGGGACCCACCGACCATACTTAACATCCACCTTTGCCTGAATGGGGGAAAACAAAGCCTAACAAAAATGCACATTAAAAAAAAGAGGCAGGGTTTTTCATTATGTAGTTGCAGCGGCTTTTTTCCCCCCTTCTTTTAAATTTATTGAAAACATTTATATAGCTGCCCAACTTACCACCAGCTCTGGGTGGTTCCCAGTCAAGAACGAAAAGACATTTAGAATTCTTTTGAAAACGATAGAAAACAACCAGTTAAGACATAAAACATGAAAGAGAACAAAAACCTGGCAACAGCACATGCTAACGTGTCATTCTCTATTATTCCCCCACCCAACACCTGAGAGAAAAGTCAGGTCTTTAAAGCCTTAAGGAAAGTGCAAAGGGTGGAGATTAAAGGGCACGATATTTCATCGCGCAAAGGCTGCCATGGAAAAGGCACACTTCCTATCTCCCATCAGATGACAATATTTAGGATAAGGGACGGAGTGTGCTTGGCCTGTTTGACCTTGTAGAATAGGTTAGATGTTCTTAGGGATAGGATGGTCTGCAAAGTGGTGAGATTCAATTTTTTTTTACTACTGGTGCTGTGGGCGTGGCTTGGTGGGCGTGGCAGGGGAAGGATGCTGTAAACTCTCCATTCCTACCCCACTCCAGAGGGAAGGTTACTGCAAAATCCCATTCCCTCCCCACCCCACTAACCTATTTTCCAGCTCTGTTCTCCTCCGCAGAGCAACAAAAGAAAACCCAGCCAATCATCTGGGACTCAGGAGGCAGAGAATAGATGGGGGCGGGGCCAGTCAGAGGTGGCATTTGCTGGTTCTCCGAAGTACTCAAAATTTCCCCTACTGGTTCTCCAGAACTGGTCAGAACCTGCTGAATATACCACCTCCGGTCCCACAGATAATCTAGCCCTGTGCTTCGAAAGATTATGATTTGCACCCTGAATTGCACCTGTCAAGAAACGGGGAGCTAGTGTAGTTCACACAACAGAGGTGTTATCTGGGCTGAGCTTTAGTGATTTGTACGCCTTCCTCAGTAGCAATTCTTAATAATACTTCATCATTCTGGGCCCTGCTGACAATGTGATCAAAGTATGTCCCAATATCTGAAGACGTTTAAAGTTTAACTAAATGGAAAGAAATAGTTTTTGTTTCTATATCGAAGTTCCCTTTTGGTTCTGGTCTCAAAGGGTTCGCGCTTCCTCTTGTAGGAAGAAAAATCTAACTGGTTCGGTTCCAAGCTTGGAGAAAGGTGCTGGAAATAAAATGGAGGCTGACTGGAAAGAGAGTTTATTGGTGAAGCAGAACCACTAACGGCATGTGGTTCTGGGGCAGCTGACCAATTGGTTGAATAAGTGGATGGATCTTTATAGTTTTCTGTGATGCTGCTGGGGGTTGTGCAATGTCTGAAAGGCCTCTAGGGGTCGTGCGATGTAGTGAGCTCTGTGTCTTTTGCTATTCTAATAGCGGTGGGTTAATCATATTATATCCTAAAAGATCATGTCCTATTCTTAGAATTTGGGTGGTGGAGAATGTAAATTTTTAAATTTTAAATTTAAATTTAAATCCCATTGCTGGAGGTGAAGGTCTTTTATTTGTGAGTAGGGTGGCCCAGGATTTTTAATGCGCACAAAATGAGTTATTAAGAGAGACTGGGGCAATTTTTATGCCCCTAAGAAGATGTTTCTCCATTTCTCCTTTTGGAAAATATAAAATTCTGCCTCCAATATTCCATATTCCCCAAAATATTTCATTCTCTGATGTGTGTGTGTGTGTGTGTGGGGGGGGGGGGGCTTCCCACACTCTGAAACAGCAGATCCTGCATTCTGGATCAATTAAAGGTACCAGGTAGTCTTCAGGGACAGCCCCATGTAGAATGCATTGCAGTTATCCCCACAGGAGATGACCAAGGCATGAGTGACAGTGAGCAAGGCCTCCTGTGCAAAAGACCCCCTAGCCAGAGCTGCCAGGTACTTCTTGAGCAGGAAACTTGACTCCAGGAGATTTCCCCAAACTGAGCACCAACTCAATCTGGGGAAGTCTTTCCCCACCCAGATTCAAAAGAAAGAATCATCTGGGCCTTGGGAGGGGCAAAACCCCAAACCACTCCATCTTGCCAGGATCAAATCTGTTAGAAATTCTGTTTATACTGTATATAGCAAACAAAGAGTACAGTCACCATGTGCTTTACTGATCAACTGTTTAAGAACAAAAGAGCACAGAGCCAAACTTGTAACACTGCCATCAATCGGCCGAATACTACCATAGTTGTCACATGGAAATACATTCCAGCAGAATCCAAGCTGGTTCCTCCTCAGCCAGACCTTATAACCTCCAGGCACTTGACCAGCAAGTCACCACCACTTGTCTTGACTCTTGTGAACTCTTCTGCTTTTTTAAAAAAAGTGATAATACACATTTTGTCACCTGAATTGGTATTTTGCTGCTGAATTTGAGGTCTCATCAACTTTTTCCCCAGCTAGAGTCAATCTCTTGAATGAGTATCAAATCAATCACAGGTCACGTTTTGGGAAAACTGCTTTTTTTTTTTTTTACTTCGCTGCCTTCTCCAAAATCATTACAGATACAGGTAGGACAGCCACAGAAAAAGTGATTTATGACCGTATAGCATCACTCCTGCAGTCACGTAGTTGCAATTACAATTACTGGTTGCAGCATCATGTAATCCATTAAATTAAATTCTACAAATTACGTACTTTTCTTATAATTCTGGACACTTTGCTGAGAGCTTAAACTTTTCAGACAGTACAACTGTTCTAATTATTTGGATTCTTTTTATTTGGAAACCTGTCTCTCTTTTCTTTAACAGGGCAACCTTTCTATATAAGAGATACTCCAGTGCTGTTAGCACAGCTGGTAGACCAGATCAGGAAATCAACAGAGGAAGGCTAAAACTATTTTCTATTGAAATTGACTATAACAACAGTATTTTACAAGTCTGATTGATCTCTTTTCTTTCTTACACTCCTGTGAGTGTAAGACAGGTGTCTGTCTAGGTCTCTGCTGAATATTATCTATCTATTGGGGACCGGATATATTTTTCCCCCTCATCTCTTTGATAGTGGAGTTTGTGTATCTCTCTCAAAGTCATCTCTTTTATTCTCTACATCTCTGTTAAAGTTGTCAGAATATAGAAAAACAAAGACATGGATCCCTAAATTTGCTCTTACCATATTTTTTTAAAAAAGTTTCATTTCTTTGTTTGATTGTTGTGAGACATCAGGAGTTGTTGAAAATCAGGTGGCGTGTAAGTTAATACATTCTTATTAATGTTTTTTTAAATTCTTTTCCTGGCTGGGATCCCCAGATCAATGGAAAGCATACAAACAACAGATGTTCCTCATGTTGGTTACACATAGAAAGGAGTACTCTATCTTCTCTAGCCAAAATGTACATCAAATGTGCACCTCAGATCTCAAAAAACAATGAAAAATGACTGATTTCTTTTTCTAGAAGTGCAGCTCCAGAGAACGTTTGTGAGCAGAATGATTGACATGGAGGAAAAGGGAACCAAAAATTATAGAGCAAGTAAATGGTCATAAAGCCCCTATTGTTCCTGGCCAGATACTACAGACAAAAGAACTTCAAATATTGCAGCTGAAATAGCTGTTGCTAAGAAACACTTAAATCCTGGCAACCCAGAAGTTATAGAAAAATCTTAAATCCCTGACCAATAAATTCAAACCTCATGCTTTCCCTTAACACAAAAGCGTATCATGAAATCTCAACTCTGAAGATACTTCAGCCTTCTCTAAATTAGAGTTTCATAACCTTGGCAATTTTAAGGTGTGTCGCTGGGGAATCCTGGGAAATCCACCTCTCTTCAACCTGCCAAAGTTGAGAAACATCTATATTCTGTCATAAGTATAATATATCCAACCTCCCACCCCAATCCATCCGTTCCCTGATCTCACTCGATCATAGCTATGGCGGCTGGTGAGAGATGTGGAAAGGAAGGTGCTGGCAGGCCGGTCCCTTGGATATGCCTGCTTGAATTCAAGCACATGGCAGCTGTAACAGATCTAAACAACTTACCTGAGCTTGGTTGCTTTCTTGCGGACATTGCATTATCACGACTAGATGGGATAATGTGGACCAGTGGATTAGCACTGATGATGTTTACTTAGTTTGGATAATGATACGTCTCCAAGAAAACAAGCAAGCTCAGAGAGAGATGATGATTTGCACTGTCAGTCAGTCATAATTGTGGAGACATGCTCGTTGACAAAACTCGGTGACCTTACCCGAATGTCTACAAAATATTAAATAAAATATGCCCATGACACCTTGTACAGGCTGAGTACAAGTTTTTTTTTTTTTTTGATTTTGCTTATTTTCTGGAGGAAAAATATATTAAGGACAATGGCTCTGAAGTTTAGTAGTTAAAAATTAGGAAGGGGAAATTTGTATCCCAGAAAAATTGGTTTAATTTCATGTGACTTCTATGGCCTGTTGAGATATGACAACCAAGCTAACTCTTAGTTGTTTTTCTATATAGAATAACTACTTGTATTGAACCGTGGTAGCATAGTGGTTGGAGTGCAGTACTGCAGGCTACTTCTGCTGACTTCTGGCTGCCTGCAAATTGGCAGTTCAAATCTTAACAGGCTCAAGGTTGACTCAGCCTTCCATCTTTCCAAGGTGGGTAAAATGAGGACTCAAATTGTTCGGGGCAATAGGCTGACTCTGTAAACTGCTTAGAGAGGGATGTAAAGCAATATAAAGCGGTATATAAGTCTAAGTGTGATTGCAACCTCCTCAGATGCATGGGGGAGATGCTGTTGGTCTGGCCCAGAACCAGAGAGAGAGAGAGAGAGAGAGAGAGAGAGAGAGAGAGAGAGAGAGAGAGAGAGAAGAGACAAAGTCGTGGGAGAAATGAGGAGAGACATTAAGAACTACAAAGATTGTTTTAGAAGGGAGTAGGAAGAGAGAAAAGGTAGAGAGTACTTGGGATATGAGTGTGTGGAACAGTTGGTTCTCCACTGGAGAAGAAAAATATATGGCGGTTTCTCTGAAGGAAGAGAAGCGAAATACCAGAGAGATGATATTTTCTTCCTAGATGGGACAGAGGGAGAAGGTGGCTATGATAGAAGGTCTTTAATAAAACCCTAGTCTCTGGGAAGAAAGAATTGGCGGAAGACTCCCAAGAGAGGTTCTTTTCCCAATGGAGCAGACGCAGAAGAGGATCAGCCGAGCAGATCCAAGGAAAGGAGATGAGTAGTGCTGAGCACGCTCATTTGTAAATCCACCCTTTTACTCTTTCTCGATAATCCTGGAAATGGAGATATAGTGAAGGGTGGGGAAGAAATGAAGCTTTCAGGAGGAGAGTTAGAGGGGAATAGTGACTATTCACCAGGATAGAGACCTAAGACCCTGGGTAGAAGTCAGGATTTTGTTGTTAACAGCTATTGTAAATAGTTTTGCTGTGTACATTAAAGAAGGTCCATAAAAGCCTCCACTATCTTGTCCCAAAGGTGCTTTTTTCAAGTGGCAACTGGACTTTCTAGTTTTCTTTGAAGACATTTCACTTCTCATCCAAGAAGCTTCTTCAGCTCTGACTGGATGGAGGGGAATGGAAGGATTTATATTCCTTGCAGACAGCTGGTCATTTGCACTCTTTTGGAGGGTCACTGAGGCCCCTTGGAGATTTATCTGTCCTCAGGGTTGTCTGAATAGTGCAAGTGGGTGTGGAGCCTTCTGGGAACTGTTGAAAGGACTGTGTCTGAGATAGATGACTACTCAGATGACCCTGAGGACACAGACAAACCTCCAAGTGGCCTCAATGATTCTCTAAAAGAATGCAAATGACCAGCTGTCTGCAAGAAGTATAAATCCTCCCATTCCCCACCATCCAGTCAGGCCTGAAGAAGCTCCTTGGATGAAAAGCAAAACATCTTCAGAGGAAAACCAGAAAGTCCAGTTGCCTCTTGAAAAAAAAGCACCTTGGGGACAACCATGACCTGAATGACTGAGAATCTCCATAGTCCACCACCATCTTGGTTTCTCTGTGTCAGTTACCATCTTGTAACTCTAATTACACTTCCAGTCCTCAAAAGAACCCAGTCACACCATGGCAGGTGGAAACAATGGACCTTCTGACGTCATACCAAGCTTCCTGTATTTTCACGATTTCACCACAGGGGAAATGGTGGAGGATCTATTTGAGCTTGGAGGGGAAAGCAGGACACAACCCACGAAGACCTTCCCACTCTCCCACCAGTTACCTTCAAAACGGGCTTGGAATGGTTCCGTCCCGTTCGTCTCTTTAAGGGCTCCACCTTCCTTGAGATATTTTCCAGGCAGAGGGTTTCTCTCCACGACAGTCTGCCTCACCCTCTTTTCTGGGACATTGGCGTCGGTGAAAGCACTTGATGCCGTGCCCTCCGATTCGTGGCTGGGATAAAACGCGTTCACAAGCCCCACGCACAGGAGCAAAAGAAACTCTCTGGCCAAGAGCATAGTTCGTGGCTGGATCTGGGTAGGCAGGACAAAAACTGAAAAAGAGCTTCCCCACAGGTCTGCCTCACGACCTCTGTCTACCTGCCTTGGCTGTGGGAGTTTAATAGCTGAAGTTACAACCGGTGGGAGGGAGGTGAGGGAAATGAGCAGCTGCCAATTGTTCATCTTTTTTGTTTTTTTTCCATATTGAATCTGCCTCCCTAATGAAGTCAGCATCGTTACCCTCCAGCTGCAAAGAGGAACATGGCAAATTGAGTTTCTGACCAGTTGCCAGACTGGCATTTGCTCAAGCTCCGTGGGTTGCAGTGGGGGGAGTATGTGAGTCCTGTTGGTTTAGATCCGTGTTTCGTAACCCTTGGCCACTTTAAAGATGTGCGTGCTTCAACTTTGACAGGAAAGACCTTTCACAGTGTGTTTGTTTGTACTAAAAGCATTGGACATGTTGTCATTTCCTAAGTTTTTCTGGCACAAGAGCACAATGCAGCCCTCTGATAACAGAATGTTAAAAAAAAACACAGAGTTGAAAGGGACCTTGGAGGTCTTCTAGTCCAACCCTCCCCTGCCGAGGCAGGAAGCCCTACACCACTTCAGGCAAATGGTTACCCTACATCTTTTTTTAAAACTTCCAGTTAGCTTGAACCCTTCTGAGTCACCCTTTTAGAGTGTAGAAATCTAGATGGTCATAAGAATTATGCCACCTTATGCCACCAGACTTGAAATTCTAGAACTAGAAAACCTTGAATTATTCCGTCTTCGGTCTGATCTAAGTATGGTATATAAAATCATACATTGCAATGACTTACCTGTCAATGAATACTTCAGCTTCAACCATAACAACACAAGAGCACACAGTAGATACAAACTCAAGGTTAACCGCACCAAACTTGATTGCAGGAAATACGACTTCAGCAACAGAGTGGTCAATGTCTGGAATACTCTACCTGATTCTGTGATTTCTTCCCCAAACCCCAAAAACTTTAACCTTAGACTGTCTACTATTGACCTCACCCCTTTCCTAAGAGGTCTGTAGGGGGCGTGCATAAGCGCACCAACGTGACTACCCTCCCTGTCCTATTGTTTCTTTTATTTTTCTTATATGTACCCATTTCATGTATTCATGACTATGTATATACTTATACTTATTATCTTGTAAACAATTGACAAATCAAATAAATAAATAAATAAAAGAATGTCCCTGGCTCTACAAGTGATGCTGTCGAGGTTCTTAACCAGGGCCTGGAGTCTGTAAGGGTTTGGATGGGAGAGTACAGATTACAGCTCACCCTGGCAAGATGAAGTTAACTCTGGGTCTTTGGGTCCCCTGGATCTGGTGATTATTATTTTTTTCATCTTTACCTCTTTATGGGATAACATCCCCCAGAATGAATGGTGTACAATCTTGGAGTCCTCCTGGATTCATGGTTGCTGCTCAAAGAGAAGGTGGCCCAGAGGTGGTATTCAGCAGGTTCTGACCAGTTCTGGAGAACTGGTAGCAGAACTTCTGAGTAGTTTGGAGAACCTGCAAATCCCACCTCTGACTGGCCCTACCCTCCATCTATTCTCTGCCTCCTGAGTCCCAGCTGATCGGCTGGGTCTTCTTTGGTTGCCCTGAACAGGAGAACGGAGCTGGAAAGCAGGTTAGTGGGTGTGGGGAGGGAATGGGGATTTTGCAGTAACCTTCCCCTGCCACGCCCACCAAGCCACACCACACCCACCAAGCCATGCCCGCAGAACCAGTAATACATTTTTTTGAATCCCACCACTGAGGTGGCCACTGTAATCATGAGGGGCATTGAACAGATTCATCTTGTGCACTGGTTGTAATGTTTCTGCTCTACACACTATCACTTCCTGATTGGATTACTTCAAGGCAATCTATATGGGGCTGCCCTTAAAGCAAGGGTTGCCAACCTTTTGGACCTCAGGGACCACCAAACTCTAATTTTAAATCCCGCAGATCAGAGACCCCGGGAAAATCCCTGAAAAAGTCTGCAGGACAATTCCCCATCCCATTTTCCTATCGATCGATCATTATTTAATTTGGGAACGCAGGATACCATCTCCAGCTCTGTTCTCGGGGGGAGAGAGAGAGAGAGAGAGAGACTTTTGGATTCATGCAAAGAAAGCAGCAGAAGCAGCAGAAGTCTTTCCTTCCCTCTCACAAACTCCACCAGAAATGAGTCTTTGCCGGTGCAGCTTCTTGGAGCAGGATGCCTTTCAGGGTCCCAAAGACTCATTTCTGGCAGAGTTTGGGGGAGAGAAAGAAAGACTTTTGCTGCTTTCCTTGCCTGCAGCCAAAAGTAGAAGAAGAAAGAAGCAGAAAGAAGCAGCCCAATGGCCAGGCCAGGCACATGGGGTGTGTGGAGCAAGTTCCCCCGTCCATCCTTTCCCACCTCCCTCCCTACCTCCTGATGTTCCCAATGCAAGCGATGCGTACTTGGGTTTCTGCGGGCTATGTGGGTGTCACAGCCTTGTGTTCCTACGCAGCCTGGATTAATTGCTTTGGGTGGGGGGTTGCTTTTGGGGTGACATTTCTCTGCGGACCACCAAAATTTTCTCACAGACCACCAGTGGCCCCTGGCCCACTGGTTGGCAACCGCTGCCTCAAAGAACATTTCAAAGGTGCAGAATGTGGCTCGGTGTTTATTTTTGGGTGCTCCAAAGTTTGCTTATTTATGGAATGTGCTGTATTTGCCACCCATAGCACAAACTCCTTAAAGCATTAAAAATATTAAAATCTACAATCATATAACACAGCGAATAAAACCATTAACAAATAAAATCCATTAACATCAGATGGGAAAAGAAGGAGCTGGACACCCGAGGTGGGGTGAGGAGGTGGGTTAAGTTTTAATTAGTAACCATTTTTGTTAGATCGGGTAGATCGGTTCCCGCAGAGACGCGAGACCAATAGTGAACGTTCAGCTCTTTATTTAGTTATAGATCAGTACAAAAACCTTGGAGCCGCGGCAACTCTTCATATAGGGATTGCTCGCGGCTCGGCGGCCAATGACATCACTTTGAATCTCTCGCGATCGGCTCAGCCAATCGTGGTAGATTCTTAGCGCACCAATCACGGCCGTTAAGTCAGCCAATCAGGTTGCGGTCCGTGTGGACCAATCAGGTGTCAGGGTTTGGAGTATGCTAATATAGTACAATTTTGTAGAAAGTTAGCAGCCACCCCTCTCCTAGAAGAATTAAATATTTTGAGAAATGTTAAAAAGGCTAAAATATTTCCCCTAAGGGAGACAGAAAGACAGAGCTCCAGCTGCCTGCCCCCAGCAGATATTTGGTGCCCATTAAGAAAGACTGGGGCAGCCTATCTACAAGACAAAAGACCTCCAGCTGCAGTGTGATGGGATTATGACATGACCCTCCAGGACATAATAGGATTAATCCATCTAGCAGCAGAGCTCACCACATGGAACAATCTAAGGACATTGCATCACCCAGCAAGCTTCAACCAAACCTGGGAGCTCAGACAACCTCTGAGCTCCCAGCTTTGACCTCTGCATAGCCCCGTGGGAGTCTGACAGCAACCAATAGAACCCATGTTCTTGCACAGGAACAGTGTCAGCATTCCAGAGATTATCCATTCCAGCCAGTAACTCCAAATCAACCATAATCTCAAAGTACTTTTATTAGAATAGAAACTTGGTACCTGTGTGGAATTAAAAAAACTAAAGTTTCCCCCCAGATTTGTTTATTTATTTTTATTTATTTATTTGATTTGTCAATCGCTTACAAGATAATAGGTATAAGTATAAACATAATTATGAATAGATGAAATGGATACATATAAGAAAAATAAAAAACAATAGGACAGGGACGGTAGGCACGATTGGTGTGCTTATGCATGTCCCCCTTACAGGCCTCTTAGGAAGGGGCTGAGGTCAATAGTAGACAGTCTAAGGTTAAAGTTTTTGGGGTTTGGGGAAGAAACGACAGAGTTAGGTAGATTATTCCAGACATGGACCACTCTGTTGCTGAAGTCGTATTTCTTGCAATCAAGTTTGGTGCAGCTTACCTTGAGTTTGTATCTATTGTGTGCTCTTGTATTGTTATGGTTGAAGCTGAAGTATTCATCGACAGGTAGGACATTGTAATGTATGATTTTATATACTGTACTTAGATCAGACCGAAGGTGGTGTAGTTCTAGGTTTTCTAGGTCTAGAAGAAATTTTAAGTCTGGTGGCATGAGGTATTCTGCCACAGAGTAGAGGAGTGGAGAACTCTTCTTGTGAAATATTTCTGGACTTTCTCAACTGTGTTAATATCAGATACGTAACGCGGGTTCCAGACTGATGAGCTGGATTCAAGTATTGGTCTAGCAAATGTTTTTCCCACAAGGTACCAACCTACAAACCATTCCCTTTTCCCCACATCATACATCACGTGAACCAATCCCCCTTCAGTCCCAATTCTTCCTGCGCCATTCACAATGATCTTGAATTACTAAAGAATTGATTTTGTCTATTGGGAGCTACTCAAATAATATCAGCCCTGTTAGGAATATAAGTCACCTAACCGGTATTTGGGTTAGAAATATATAAACCAGGATAAACATTTTAGTACTGTAACTTTAAGAAAATGCAAAACTGTAATTAGGTGTGGTTTCTCAAATGGCCATAAGATGGAGCCAGAAACCTGGTTTGTCTTAGTCTTAGTCTCAGAAGAGACTGTTAAGTGTATCTCTGTTTCCTTCTGTTGGAAAGTATTGCTGTTGCTCCATTTCTTCTAATTGACTGATATTACTGGATTTAATTTAAGTATGATACTGAACTGTTTTTGACACTGGATTTTGATATTTGGATTATCCCTGGATGAAAACTGACTGATTTACCTGTGAATGATTTTGGATTGCTTATTTTGGACTTTGCTTAAACCTTTCTGGAAGTAAAAACTTACATTTACTGTACAGTGTATCTGTGTGCTCTGTGTATATTATTCAAACACTACTCTCTATACGTCTCCCTGTATGCACTCATTCTCCTAAAGGGGAATTACCTCAACAAGCTCCCTCCAATCCTCCGCAGCTGTGTGGCAGCTTTTAATAACGACTTCAAAGCTGACAAACAGGAAGCTCAAGTTCAAAGCCCAAGAGAAGGTATAAATATCCTCCACTCGCAACTCCATGTAGTCAGCTACCCAGAACCATCTGCTTGGCAGTTCTGCTTCATCAATAAACCATCTTTCCAATCACCCTCCATGTTTCCAGTGCTATTCTCCCAGCTTGGAATTGAACCAGATGTATATTTGTTCCAGCAATCTCCAGTATGAAATTGCCCCATTGGGTCCCCAATCTGTCACTGATGGAATTGCTATGTAGTAAAAGCTGATGGAGGTAGCAAAACTGGCGAAAATGTTTAATTAGAGAAAAGATTTTATCTAGCTTTGTTTCCGTATGGAAACCTCTTTTGGAATTTTGCTTGAAACTGAAAAAAAAAAAATGAAAATTTGATTTAAGGTTTTGATGATTAAAATAATTTTGTTATTATAGGTTTAGCTTGAAAAGTGAAATGTGAAGCAAAAGGTTGATGTGTTTTTATTTTTATTTTACTTGCACTGAAAAGAATCAGAGGTCACCACTTTTCCCCATTTTCTCTGTTTGCACTTTTTCTTTCTCTTAGCTTTCTAGCTTTTGTTTTTTTCTGTGTTTTTATTTTTAATGCAACTTAATAAAATTATATACAAAGAAACAATTTGCTATGCAGTACCCGGGCATTTTTTTTTGTATTGGGTTACTTTAATTGATGATCATTTTCAATATATTTTTTTCTACAGATTGTTCATCATCCAGAATTGCTTGTTTAAGGTGGGAGACTGTATAGGTTTTCTAAATAGAATAAAATAAATAAATAAAAACTCTCCACAGGCACAAGTGTTTCTGAAGTTAGTTTTATTTGGATCCACCAGAGACTTGGGGCAAGGGTACTACCATTTTTTATTATCTCAGTGTGAGGCACATCCAGGGACCAGAAATAAAAACCATTTTGTGTCAGGACATTCCTTCAATGTACGTCAATCTCTATGGAGTAAAAGTGAACAAAGGAATTGGTGTGAGAAATGTAAGCTATTTTTCATAATCTCCCTTCCCCAGATCTTATCCATAAGGCTATCAGAAAAATTAGCAAAAAATTAGCAACCCTGGCTTTCTGGCTAACATCTGTTGTTGTTGTTTTTTTTAAATACAGCATTTCTCAATGTTGGCAACTTGAAGACGTAGCTGGCTGGGGAATTCTGGGAGTTGAAGCCTACATGTCTTCAAGTTTGAATTCTAGTGCCGAGAAGGGCCAATGGTAGAAGATGCACCTGTTGGATTTTACACTGGCCACAAGCTGTTCAAGAGGAAGTCTATTGGTTTGTGGGGTCTTAATCCTTTTTCTTTGACTTTGGAAATTCTCTGTTTGGTGGACTGGTGTGACAACAAAGCAAAACTACAATGTGGCTGCAGATGGCCTTTGAAGTTGTGTTGTATTCTCTTTAGGAGCGCTCACAAAGTCCATTCCAGCAAATCTATCACTTTTCTGCATGAGATATTGCAAAGGGCATAGAAAATGGGCGGTGCTTGTGTTGCGATGTTGTCACACTTCTTGTGTTACTCTCTCATTGTCTCCCCTGGATCTATCTTAACTCTGTTTGGTATAAACAGGAGGGAAGGAAGGAGGCATAGAGGAAAAATGCCACCAAGCTTCCAAGCTTCCTTACTTGCCGTGTCCTGCAGAGGTGGAATTCAGCAGGTTCTGACCAGTTCTGGAGAACCGGTAGCAGAAATTTTGAGTAGTTCGGAGAGAACCGGCAAATCCCACCTTTGACTGGAGATTTTACAGTCTCCTTCCCCTGCCACGCCCACCAAGCTACGCCCACAGAACCGGTAGTAAAAAAAATTTGAATCCCACCACTGGTGTCCTGTATTAGTTTTTCTCAACCTCAGCAATTTTAAGACGCATCAGGGAATTCTGGGAGTTGAAGTCCACACATCTGAAAGTTGCCGAGGTTGAAAAACACCGCTCAATATCAGGGGTGTCAAACTTGATTTCATTGAGGGCCACATCAGGGTTGTGTTTTGACCTTGGGATGTATGTGTATGTGGCCGTTGGCGGGGGGGCGTGGCCAGATCGACATCACTTGTGTTGGGGGTGCTTGTGGCGGCCTGATTGCTTTGTCAGAGAAAATGGGCTCCTGAGCTCCATTTTCGGGTGTGACTGACTCCTGTAACCCTCTGCCAGCAAAAATGGCGCTCGAGAGGGCTGCATGCGCCCCCTCTCCTGAACTCCATTTCTTCTGGCAAGGGTTCTGCATGCTATTTCCAGGACGGCCAGATCTAAGCATCTTGCAGGCCGGATCTGGCCCCCAGGTCTTGAGTTTGATACCCCTGCTCTATATCAATAAAACGGGCTCCAGAATTTCTGGTGCAGTCTATTCTTTCCTTAAGGGGCTGATAAATACAACTTCCAGATTCATAGGTGATGCTATTTAAAAGAATTTTTTTTTTAAATTGCTGTTGTTATTTACACACAGTGTTCCAAATAGTTCTAACTGGATTCAGTACTTTTGGCTATTAGGTCCTTCCTAAAATCTGGGACCCATCATTGCAACAGAATTGAAATTTGGCAAATTTTATAAAAGCATTTTAGGACATCCAAATGACCATAAAGCATTTTGTGACAAATTACAAAATGTCATGAAAGATTTCCTGCGGCCAACTGGTGACGTTTGACTGTGCTATACAAGAGAGGTGCCCATCGCCCGGGCTGCAGGCTGGTACCAGTTTGTGGACCGTTAGGAACCGGGCCGCACAAGCAAGCGAAGCTGCATGTCCACGTGTGCGAGATCTAGGTAGTGTGTGAAACCACACACACATACTATTAGTCTGTGGAAAAATTGTTTTCCACAGAACTGGTTCCTTGCACCCAAAAGGTTAGGACCCACTGTTATATGGTTCAACACTGGCTATTTTCAAGGCAGATACATCCCTAAAATTTTAAGAACATTTGTAATGAAAGCAGCAGTGCATTAAGTGCTAGAGAAATCAGAAAATCCAGGTAGTTCAAATGAGTATAAAGGTTTATTGCTCGCTACAAGAATCTGAACTACTAACAGTCAAAGAAAATTGGCGGTAGATGTCAAAGGAATTCAAGGATTTCTGGATTTAGATTTCTTATGATTGCGAAAGGATTCATGACCGATGACACATTTGACATCCCACCCCCCCGGCTCAGCCAGGTCATCTCCTACACCTGCCATCATTGATGGCATTGAAGAATCTGGCAAGAAAACATCTCTTTATCTACGAGCCAGGCTCATGGGTTGTCTAGTTTGGACTAAAGAGAAAGGTAACGTGCTTTAGTGAATGAGTTGGCAGCTTCAGATGTTTAACTCACTAGCTTGGAGAAGGCTTAGGGTTTCTGTAGTCCATCGTGAAACTGCTCGTGTTCCCGTCATCATCACTGATCAAAACTTCTGCTAAAGGATCGCAGCAGGTTGACCTATGGAGGAGAGCAAAAATAACAAGATGGATAAATAACGGGAGAGAGTGAAGGAGGAAAGAGTTTGGACAGCTAGAAGCGGAATCGGGATTAAAAACAAGGACACCAGAATGAAAGAGTTCTGTAAGCAGTGAAACAATTAGAAGGGGTGACCGCTTCACTAAGGCAATTCCGCCGTTAACCTGTTTCATCAAGGCGAAGTACAGGTTGTCCTTGACTTATGACCATTCATTGAGTGGCTGTTCGAAGTTACAACAAAACTGAAAAAGTGACTTACAATCAATCCTTGCACGCATGACATTGTAGCATCCCTACAGTCACGTGATCAATATTCAAATTCTTGGCCTGTGGCATGTAGTTACAAACGGCTGCAGCACCCCAAGGTCATGTGATTGGGGGCCTTTCCAGCCAGTTCCCAACTGGGGGAAAATCTGGATTCACTTAATGATATGCAACTCATTTAACAACGGCAGTGATTCACTTAAAAACTGTGGCAAAAAGATCATACATTTGAATGTGACTTACTTAGAAACCACTATGCTTACCAGTAGAAATTCTGGTCCCAATTGTGGTTATAAATTAAGAATGACCTGTACTTATTTTCTTATGCTACACAGTCTGGTTGAAATACGAACATACATTATTTTACCTTGATCAATGAAAAAAGAAAAGGAAGAATATAGACTAGTGTTCTGCAGCTGCCTTTTAGGTTCAGGGCTAAAATTGGGGTTTGAACAGGATGTCTCAAAAGTAACTGGTCAGGGCATCATAAAAATGAAATTTTGTTCAGATTAAATTTAAATATGGTCAATACATTTTTTCCTGGTACTAATATGTTTACTACTTTTTTTCCCTTTATGTTCAGAATTTGGTAATAACTGGGAATTTAGAATGTCAACTTTTCTCAAAGTAAGATGGTGATTTGTAATGTTAGTAATTAGTAATTTTACATGGATGCAACATATGTGATGTGAAGTTATTGTTATTATTATCTGGAATTATAGATATATTCTAAAAATGGAGCATTTTTTTCTAAATAGTGTAGATTTAATAGGCTTAAGGGCCAAATTAATTTCATATATATATATATATTTCATTTCTTCTTTTTTTCTTATTTTTTCTCCCATTATGTTCATCTTTGCTTTAATCCTTGTAATGTATGTCGGATTTGTATTACATACCCACTGACATTATTTTTGTTATTAATAAAAATAAAGCAATTGTACTGCTTTGATTTTTTTTTCATTGCGCAGAAAACTAAAATAAAATCGTCATAAATTAAAAACCTAAGAGTTTCAAAAGAAGAAAAAATGAAATCAAAACATGTTTAATATACGCTCTGTCCTAAATATTAGCTAATTTTAAACCTAAAAATTAGCTAATATTAACAACTGCACATTCTGTCTGCTTTAGCAACAATATTTTTTTTTTTTTGCTACTTCTTACCTAATAAAGATCTGGCTAAAATATGGGTGTTTTGTAATTTTGGTTTCAAACTAATAAAAGCATTTTTTAAAATTCTGGATTACTTTCCCCTAGGGAAAAGATATTTCATAGCTAGGGTTTAAATGAATAAAGACAGCCATCTCTTTGCATCTTTGTTTTCATTTTCGATGAAAACTTGTAAACTCCAGGGGGCACCCTAAG